GCGAAAGTGTAACTGATCGACAATGTTTAGATCAACTCCTCAATAGCATCAATCTGCAACATGGTTTAGTAACAGACATGTTGTTAAGAATGGATTAGGTTTTTGAACAAAAGACGTTCGACAATAGTCTGCTTCGATAAAATTTATTATCTAAGCTTCCTCATCAGGTGCAGGCAGCGCTTATCTCATTTTGAAACGACGCTGCAGACGAGCTAGCTGCATCTGCCGATGGTAAACTGGAGATCGCCAAAACTGTTATGTCTTGCTGATTGGACTCTATATTCATTTCTAAGCTATTCTGATAACCCGCACGCTTGAACTATACAGTGACCTGAATACCAAAAAGAAGACGCAAATCATGAGAGAAGCACTTTACTCCAAGGTTCGTTTTCGTACAGAAAACACGGGTATTTATAGATGTTAACATTTGTTAAATCAACATAATATTTTAGCCAATCCGCTAAAAGACATATTATGCTACTGACCAATAGTAGCACGCCACGTTGACATTCTAGATAGCTCCATCAAGCTCTGATTGGCTAGGACTCTTCAGCTCCTCTAGGGCCCCTGAAGGTTCCATTGCAATTCTCGGAAAACCGACTCAACAAAACCTTCTAGCGCCGAGGTCTATTAAGTCAAAGATAAACCTCAAACGACACGAAAAAACGTTATGGAACTCTTTCAAACTCTGACACGTTACCATGATATTCGTCATGACCTTAAACAATCTCAAACTCCTCAAAGTAATACTTCGCTAAGACGATCTGTCTCCAGATCACGAGAGACAGATAATCCTGTTTAGTGCTGGCATTATAATCAGTACGGAAAGTCTTCCTGAAATTGTAGAAAACCCTGCGATTTTCCTACCTCCATGCCGACGGACACGAAAAATATTTTGGGAGACTGCCTGTCTGCACGCGTTAATGGCGTCAAACATAACCTTCTATTATACATCACTGGTGCGATCACGAAAGTTCTCTAACTCGTCGATACTGGCACGGAAGTTAGCGTTCTTCCAACGAATTCTTGCAACCGACTGAACAAACTAGTCTTCAGCTTGCAGGTGGCAAGTAGGAAACCGATTGCCAAATATGGTAAGCTATTTGTTTATCTTAATGTGGTTCCATGAAAATACATTGCCCGGATTCTTGTTGTTTCAGGCGTTTCTATGCCAAACATTGTTTTAGACTTGCTACAACATCATAATCTACTTATTGATACGCGCAAGCGGAGATTAGTAGACGGAAATACTAATTTATATGTTTGTGTAACTTTCTTTTTTGGTTGTAGATTAACTCCAGTCACAGTAAAATACACGAATAATGAATCCTACCAACAAATACTAGATAAGCACCATGAGACTAACCAAACGCGACCGAAATTACCTTGTGTAACCAGAAATGTTACACATCACATCAAGACTACAGGACCACCTTCATACTTGAAAGCGCACCAACTGACACCCGAAAAGCTGGAGTTAGACAAAAACGAACTGAAACATATGATAGACTTTAAAATCACTTGGCCGTCGAACAGCCCAAGGGCATCTCCTCTGGTTGGCGTCCAACTAGAGACTATCGGTAACTCAATGCAAACACCATTTCCGATCATTACCCGTTACCTTACATTCACGATTTGATAGCTACCTTGAAAGGTACAGCAGTGTTTTTCGAAAATCGGCTTGGTCAAAACAACCGAATTCCCATAGCTCCTGACGACATTCCTAAAACCGCTATTATGACACCTTTCGGACTCTACGAATTCGCGCGCATGCCTTTCTGCTTGAGCGATGCTGTACATACTTTCAAAGATTTATCAATGAAATTTTTCGACGTCTCAGTGTAAGTGGCCGTTCGCATGCTAAGCGAGCGAGAGCCATAACAAAGCAATTTTGACACGTACTGGAAGATGGCTGGGAAGCCAACTCCATTTTAATTAAGCGTTATTCCATATTTATAGTCAGACAAAATAAGCTACAGACATACAATGAGTCATGGGACATGAAGTGTACACACATATACGCTCATGTGAAAACAGTCAAGGCTAATAAGCGAATAATTGACAAGGTCAAAATATGGCTCAAGTAAAATGAATAAAATAGGATGTCCGGAAGTTAGAATAAGGTATATGGGCTTGCCATAATAACTGACACTACATAGCCCCCTTGTAGAAAATAGCACATTTAAAAAATGTCTGTTTTCGAAAATAACACTGAAGTGATATGAAGTTAACGCTAACACTAAGTAGCCAAAAAATTGTACAACACTCAATAGAGTACAGTGTCACATGAGGGGTGAGTGTATTATATGAAAATGCCATGCTTATGCAAAAGAATACATGAATATCGCAAAGGCTCGGACAAAAATGAAAATGTTAGCATGGGAATATGAGCAAATTAATGAGCGTACAAACAAATTAACATCTACTAATTCTATGGCTGTCTGAACGATAAAATAACACGTTTGTATGAGCGATTCAAAATATCGTGAAAATAATAATAAATTGTTTGTGGGTATAACAGGGAAATAAATCGTCAAAATGAGTACAGTAGAATATGATAGAAATTGATCTGTGATGCTGACGAAATAGTGAAATACGTTAAATATATGTTCTGTTGAACCGCAGCAGGATAAATCGCATTGACTAGTGATGAGTGAATTCGAATTTAAATGCGTAGGATGATAATAGGAAAGTCGTGAAATGATATCTGCATCGACGGGTGATATTCGTTGCTGTACTGCAATTGATAATAATCATAAAATTTGAAGTCAGTGGACGTTGTCGTCTGCGTTATGACAGATGCATTGAGTTATCATTAAATATGTATTAGTAGAAGAATGACCAGAGGAACAGATTAGAGACTGAGTAGACGAGGTACGTAGAGTCGTATTCCTTTTTGGTCATGAAGCCTAGAGTGGTTTGTGTGGTTTGAGGGAGATGCGCTCGATCTCGTTTGTTACAAAACCGTACCAAGGCATGACAAAAATACCAATACATATGATTAGTGATGGAGACGTATGAGACTGACTTGGATGTGACGAACAAGAGTGTATCTTTGAGAGGCTAGCTCTAAACTCTATGTTCTGATATACCGAGCGATGGGTATAGAATAGAAATTGCAGTACTCGAATAGCGTTTTTGAGTGATAAGTTATGCAGAATGTAGTTACGCACGTGGAAGAATAGATAAAATGAACGCAATGGTTACTAATCAGCTAGTCAGAAGCATCCACAGACATAATAGGAGGCGATTTCGAAATGAAAAATGTATGTTGTGATAACATAAATTGCGGACCTCGACTAAGTGAATGAATGTAATATTAGATCAAAATGACATGAAAAAAATTGGAACGAACTCACTTAAAGCAGGAACATTTCACGTTTTTGAATAGTAAAAATATCCTAATGAGTTCTCACAAAGTGGAGTGGAATTTTCATAAAATGATAATTTGTTCGGTGAGTAATATGGTTGCAAAAATGTCATAATTTAATGACAGCATGAACAAGATTAATAATTCCACATTCGGTCATGATATTGATAATAATGTAATAATAAGCATATAATGATAATTTGAATCGTAATGGGACAATCCGAAAAATGTATCAATGAGGATAATTGACATGAGGACAAAGTATCGATAAGATAATACGACTTGAGCATGTCCATGTCATGTTGCACAGGCTGTGCTGATTGCGTCGGATTGGAGATTGCACTGGCTTCGCTGAATATGTTCGTCGAACGTATAGAGTGCAGAAGTGCCTTCATCGACGTAGCTTGCTGCGTCGCGTTCGTCGTCGGCGGGCTTACCAATGTAGAAGGCCCGTTCGCATGCTAAGCGAGCGAGAGCCATAACAAAGCAATTTTGACACGTACTGGAAGATGGCTGGGAAGCCAACTCCATTTTAATTAAGCGTTATTCCATATTTATAGTCAGACAAAATAAGCTACAGACATACAATGAGTCATGGGACATGAAGTGTACACACATATACGCTCATGTGAAAACAGTCAAGGCTAATAAGCGAATAATTGACAAGGTCAAAATATGGCTCAAGTAAAATGAATAAAATAGGATGTCCGGAAGTTAGAATAAGGTATATGGGCTTGCCATAATAACTGACACTACATCAGCTTCGTACATGCGTTTGTTAATGAATGTTCGGTTGCAAGTTCGGACAGTGAATCACATATCCGGCATCTGAACTTTGTCTTCAAACGACTCCAAAAACAAGGTATAACATATCTTCGAACCTGTTCGCTTCTGACTTCTAATTTCACTGGGTTGACAGGTTAAGATTACAGAATGTGTTGCTGGTAAAGGTGTTATCAAACTCCAAATGGTTGTGGCATCTTTGTAATGAAGATTGACTGATTACTTAACTTTAGGGTTATGCTTATGTCACTTTATCAAAGGTTCGCGTTTTTGTGTAGGAGTTGGTTTGCAATAAAGAAAGCAACTAAGAACTTATTAAGAAGTATCCAAGAAGCAGATATATCACTGAAGATGACACAGGTATTCAGTGTTTGACAACGCTTTTACCAGTAACACCTTCTGATATGATTTATGCCCACCGAGAGAAATCAAAAGACAGAGTCGAGGAGATCGGAAGAGTGTATTTGGCGATTACCAATATATCGGAATTCTCTGATCTAATCTGGCTAGCGATTGCGGTAGATGTTGAGCACAGCGTTACCACACGTGATCTGGTGCGGATGCCTGACCGAGTGCCTTCAGCTAGATGGGTCCACTAAAACATATGGTCAGCATCCAATGTTGAAAGCTTACAGAGCTATTTATTTTGGGGATTTATTCACCGCTACATCACCTTTCATCTGTGAATCTCCTCGTAGAGTAACAGCTTGGTCTCAGAAACTTTTCCTGCGAAATCACGAATTTGATAACCACTGTGGAAACCGCACTAACTTTTGACTCTACCAAGAGTAAATTATTATACCTACAACATGTTGGCAGCAGAAATCACGACATAAATTGTTTTAAGCTCAAGGTCATATTAGTCGAAATATCTTCAGTTGCCTAAGCTTTCCGTAATCACATTTTATCTGTTTTATTTTCCTCATCCCCGGGACAAGTAATCCACTGCAGCCTGATATAGAATCTCAAAAAGCTAGAGCCTCTTATATCCCAACTGCAACCATTGAATCCCGTACTAAATATTCGGAGTACTTTTCTACAGGTACGCTACTATTGGTTTTAAAGTGATAAGTATGTGTTATACGATAGTCCAGTATTTTCGTTTTTTAACTTTAGAGTTCTCGTTTTCTTTACCGGCACAAGACACACAATTACAAATCCTCAGGATCAATTAGCTGGCCTAAGCTAACGACGGAACACACCCGATCTCCCTATTTTGTGTTTTTCCCCGAAGTTTGGGATTTTTCCCACGACATGGGGAAATTTCTGAGTTTTTGTGCTACTCCCCCACAATTTACCAAACACGGAAAAAATCTTCGAAATGGGGGGATTGAATGATTTTGAAAATCTTATAAATTCCTATCATAAGGGCTATCTACAATTCGAAACATCAGTGTTTATTTGATTCTTGTGACAGATTGTATGTTGCACTGAGAGTGTTCTTAGTACATATGCTCCAACGTTAGGGGAATTTTAGTTAATTTCGAAGAAGCTCCACTAGAAATTCCAGGAAAATGCGGCTACAAACCTTAAGGTGTCTTGAAGTCAATATTTTAATTTTTTGGCTAAATGGTTTGGGTTATGAAAAATGATAGTTTGTAATAACATTTCGCATAACTGCTTGTCCGATTAATGCACATTTTTGTTAAGAATTATTTACAAGTATCGTGAGGCTATAATTTATGGATGAACGAGTCAGGTTTACGGTAACAGTTCTTGAATTTTGTCGCGAAATTAATTAATCTGTTAGGCTAAATAGAGTTTTGTCATTATAACTGATGTCAGTTTGTGATGAAAACCCTATATCCAATTCCTTACCCTAACTTTCAACTGTAGATATTAGTCCTAATTCCTCACGCTAGTTTATAACCTTCATTCAACCATAGTATGTAGGTGGACATTCTCAAAGCCTTTTTAGCGTCGCTAAAGGTCGTCCATTGATTATAGCGTCACCAAATTACCTCTGCATAAAATATTTTCCCGATTTTCGCAACTAATAATGCATTTTTCCGCAAGCTTCATCCCATTAGAAGACTAGTTGTCTGCTATTTGCCATTTAAAGGTGTTGGCTGCCGAAAAGTTTTATGCGTAAACCACTAACGTACGTGACTTGAAAAATCGTCCAACGATAACTATCCCATCAGACGATTCTTAAAATAATATGTGAACCCTTAATTACAGTTTATTTACGTTATCAAGGTAGCTCTACCTTCTTACTTACTTACGCCCGTTACTCCTCGTGAAGGAGCATGGGCCGCTCTCCAGCATTCTCCATCCAACCCTGTCCTCGGCAATCCTTTCCAGCTCCGTCCAGTTGTAATTCATCGTTTTCATATCTGCTTCTATTATCCGACGCAATGTGTTCTTTGGCCAGCCTCTTTTTCGCTTCCCTTCGGGATTCCAAGTTACGGCTTGCCTCGTGATGCAGTTTGACGATTTCCTCAATGTGTGTCCTATCCATTTCCATCGTCTTTTCCTAATTTCTTCTTCAGATGGAAGTTGGTTTGTTCTCTCCCACAGAAGGCTGTTGCTGATAGTATCCGGCCAATGGATGTTGAGTATCTTGCGTAGACAGCTATTTATAAATACTTGTACTTTCTTGATGGTGGTTGTTGTATTTCTCCAAGTTTCAGCTTGATACAGTAGAACTGCCTTGACGTTCGTATTGAAGATTCTCACTTTGATATTGGTTGAAAGTTGTTTTGAGTTCCATACGTTCTTCAATTGTAGGAATGCGACCCTTGCTTTGCCGATCCTCGCCTTTACGTCTGCATCTGAGCCTCCTTGTTCGTCGATGATGCTTCCTAGGTATGTGAAGGATTCTACATCTTCCAGAGTTTCGCCATCAAGAGTGAATGGATTGCTGTTCTCCACTTTGAATTTGAGGACCTTGGTTTTCCCTTTGTGTATACTGAGGCCTACTGATGCAGAGACTGCTGCTACACTGCCTGTCCTTATCTGCATTTGTTCGTGTATATGTGATGGAAGGGCTAGGTCATCTGCGAAGTCTAAATCGTCTAATTGATTATGAGCTGTCCATTGTATTCTGTGTTTTCCCTCAGATGTCGAGGTCTTCATAATCCAGTCGACCACCAGAAGAAAGAGGAAGGGAGAGATTAGACAGCCTTGTCTGACTCCGGTCCTTAATTTGAATGCATCCTTCAGCTGTCCTCCATGCACTATTTTGCATTGTAGTCCGTCGTATGAGTTCCGGATAATATTGACAATCTTCTCAGGAACTCCGTAGTGTCGAAGAAGTTTCCATAACGTCCTGATATCCACACTGTCAAATGCCTTTTCATGATCAATGAAGTTGATGTATAGTGATGAGTTCCACTCAACTGATTGTTCGACGATGATCCGTAGTGTTGCAATTTGGTCTGTGCACGATCGATCCTTACGGAATCCAGCTTGTTGATCTCGAATTTGGGTGGCTACTGCATCTTTCATCCGGTTCAGCAACACTTTGTTGAAGACTTTCCCTGATATTGACAGTAGTGTAATGCCTCTGTAGTTTTCACATTTGCTCAGATCTCCTTTCTTTGGAATCTTGACGAGGTGTCCTTCTTTCCAGTCTATCGGCACTTGTTCCTCCTCCCAAATCTTTTTGAATAGAAGGTAAAGCATGTTTGTAGTTACTTCGATGTCTGACTTCAGTGCTTCCGCTGGTATGTTGTTGGGTCCCGCTGCTTTCCCGTTCTTGATTTGTCTGATGGCCATTCTGATTTCTTCCTTCGTTGGTGGGTTGACGTCTATGGGAAGATCTGTGTGTGCTGCCTCGATGTCCGGTGGATTCATTGGAGCCGGCCTATTCAGGAGTTCCTCGAAGTATTCTACCCATCTTTTCCGCTGTTGTTGAATTTCAGTGATTGGCTTGCCTTCTTTGTCTTTGACCAGTCTCTCTGGTTTACTGTATTTCCCTGATAGTTTCTTCGTTGTATCGTAAGGCTGTTTCATATTTCCTTCTCTAGCAGCTTTTTCCGCCGTCGTTGCTAGTTCTTCCACGTATTTCTTCTTGTCGGCTCTAATGCTTTTCTCCACTTGCTTGTTTGCTTCTATTTATTCAGCTTGTGCTTGGACTTCCTCTGCCCGTGTTCAGCTGTTGTTTATTGCTGTCTTCTTGTTCTTCCTTTCTTTGATCTTGTCCAGTGTTTCTGTAGAGATCCATTCCTTATGATGGTATTTCTTTAGACCCAGAACCTCTTGGCACGTTGAAGTTAATGCTTCCTTGATACCTTTCCAGTTGTCCTCCATGCTAGTTTCTTCTTCTTTCAGTAGATCTTGTGAGGCTTGGAACCTGTTGTTGAGAGCTATCTTGAATTCATTGAGTTTGTCAGTATCTCGAAGGAAGGCTGTATTGAACCTTTGTATTGCTGTTTGTCCACTTGTCCAGTTCTTTTTTAGCTTTAGTTTTAAATTGGCTACAACTAGGTGGTGATCTGAAGCTACGTCAGCACCTCTCCTTGTTCTCACATCTTCCATTGTCCTTCGGAATTTTTTGTTGATGCAAATATGATCTATTTGGTTCTCTTTAGTGTGGTCCGGTGAGATCCATGTAGCCTTGTGTATACGCTTGTGTGGAAATATTGTGCCTCCTATGACCAATTTGTTGAATGCACATAGATTTGCAAATCTTTCTCCATTTTCGTTTCTTCCTCCCAGTCCATGTCGTCCCATAATATCTTCATATCCAGTGTTGTCTATTCCGACTTTGGCATTTAGATCTCCCATTAGAATGGTGAGGTCCTTTCTTGGGCATTTCTTAATGATTGACTGCAGCCGTTCGTAGAACTGATCTTTAATGTCGTCGTTGGTATCGTTGGTGGGTGCATAACATTGGATAATATTCATTGTGATCCCCTCCTTCTTTGTTTTGAATGATGCTTTGATGATTCTGAATCCGTGAGATTCCCATCCTACAAGTGCATTTCGTGCTACTTTGGACAGCATAAGAGCGACTCCCTGAGTGTGTGGAGCATTGTCCTCTTCGTGACCGGAGTATAGCAGCATCTCTCCCGTAGCTAGCCTTTTCTGTCCAGCTTGGGTCCAGTGGGTTTCGCTGATTCCCAGTACTGCTAAGTTGTATCTCCTCATTTCCATTGCTATTTGATTGGTCTTCCCGGTTTCCCACATTGTTCGAACGTTCCATGTACCTATAAAAATTTTTGCTCTGGTTGTTAGAAGGGGCATCGGCCTCGTGGCTTCCGAAGGAACTCGGCTTTCACCATGAAGCGTCATAATTCTTCTAAATGAAGACCTTCTAACTCACAGGGCAGAGTTAAAATGGTTTGGATTATTTTTTCTGGTAAGCGTTTTTTAGCGAGTTAGTTTTCTACGGGATGGGGACGCTAAACCCATGCCCAACCCTCCTCCTTTACCCGGGCTTGGGACCGGCAGCAACCCTATAAGAGCTACAGGCGGAGTTGCTCTACCTTCTACACTCTTGTAATATCTATATTTACGCATCTCTACAGTTAGGAAACTGACGTAAGACGAATAGTGTGGTCTATTGAAGGAAAATAAAGATATATGCATTTCTTCAGTAATATTTTTACTCATTTAGAAATATGTTTAATGATTTCCCGGTTTTTTTCTCAACGGTCCATGATGTAGTTAATGTAAAATGAATATAAATACTAATTCGATAACACGAATTTACAACAGTATGCCGGAAAAAGTGTAATGGCATTCATAAAATCAGGGTATTACACTTTGTTGACGGAATATACAACAGTCTTAAGAACACATGAAATATAGATGAGGTACGAAAGGTTTGGCATAATGTATATAGCATTAGTAACACAATGTCAGAACTATCGGTCTTAGTGAGTTAGCTCTACAGGTCCTTAATGATGGTAACACACAACTGTTTAAAATGGTGACTGAGGCATCAGAGCTTGAGAATTAAACGTCAGTTCATCTGGGCAGACTCCACTCTTCTGACTTTCTTTTTGTTATAACCACAAATGAAGCAGCTTGTCTCAGTGCTTCCAATACCTTAGTTCCCATAATCACTTTTTGTTTAACTAGAATGCGTAACGACAAACCTGACAGGTTTCAGAACACAAAGCTACTTATTGTCGTATTATTTGACCTAGAGACATCATCTTACATCGCTGGGGAAGTCTCATGGAGGCATCTATCACTAGGTTTACAATAAGTTCACCCAACTTTTGTTTTTACATTTGAGTATGTGATAACTTACAATCTGAATTAAATAGGATCAGTTATCCATTTTTCTTTCAATCTGAACTGTTATTTATTCTGATTTCCTAACTATTGCAGATGTCTGAAGATGTTGTTGAAAATTTAAAGACAACAGTTGTAAAACCTATAGTTTATGGAAATGTTTCACGTTATCTGGGGAAAAAACGTGAGGAAGATGGACGAACCCATCAATGGACTGCGTTTTTGCGACCGTATAATCCTAGCGAAGACCTCTCGACATTTATAAGAAAAGTCCAGTTTAAATTACATGAAAGTTATTCAAATCCCATACGAATTGTTAACAAACCACCGTTTGAATTGACGGAAACTGGTTGGGGGGAGTTTGACATTACAATGAAAGTCATATTCACCGATCCTAATGAAAAGCCCCTGATAATAACTCATCTCATTAAGTTGTTTCATTGTGACCATGAAATAATGATGGGTCATAAAAGCTTAGTCCGAGAGATCTACGACGAAATGGTTTTCGTTGATCCTTCTCCGTCCTTTTATCGGGCGTTGATGAGCAGATCTCAAATTCCTCCAAACGTACCAACAATTGCACACGAAACTGATTTTAAAGAAACAAAGCGTCAAGCATTGTGTTCTATACAAGAACTAAACAGAAAGGTTACTGAAGCAATTGAAGTTTATAAAAAGCAACTTATCTCGAGGAAAGGAATTATTGAAGAAGTGAAGTCGATCGTAAACGAAGTAGATTCTGCTACTGTTGGGACCATATTGCAGTAACTATGTATATATAAATATGTGTATATTATTTTTTACCGACAACTAAATAATATCATCTCAAGATGCAAAGTACATGTTCTACATCCGAAAGCTTCATTTCAAATAATTTCCAGATTGTAAAATAACGTCTAGGTAACTTCTATATATTTCAGGGATTCATAAAGAACTCAGAAAAACATTGTTGGTCTGAGGAGACATTTTGAGCCTATTTACTAGCTTGTTTGTTTATTGCCATGGCTTCATCATAAGGATATTCGAAAATGCAGTGGGGTTTAGTGAATATATACACTAGCTTTTTGATTACGCGCCAACTTTAAGACATGTGCTAAGTGATGAATAAACTCATTATGTAATTGAATCAAAAAAGTAACTGTAGAAGTATCAACTTTATAAAAAAACGTAGACAACGGTTTTTATGTGGCCAATTAACTATCTCAGAAAAAGATGAACATATAATTCATTCTCATTTCAGGAGGTTGAATCGATGGGCAGAACACTTTAGGGATCAGTTCAACTGGCCTTCAGCCACACTGCGGTTTCCCACGATCTCCAGTCAACCTGAATGGCAAGTTAGTGTAGGTCCTCCAACTTTTTACGAAGTTGAAAAAGCCATAGGAAATCTGAAGCGTAGGAGGCACCAGGCCCTGACAGGTTTACTCCTGAGATTTTTAAGGATGGTGGTTCAGTATTAGCAGCGAGATTGACTGAGGTCTTAGGTGGAACCTAGGAACTGGACGTAATCCCATCTGACTGGTTTCAATCACTGATCGTACCAGTCTATAAGAAAGGACAAAAGTTTGACTAATATAGTGTGTAAAATATTAGCTTCAATAATACTTCGACGCCGAACCAAAGGACGTGAAGAACAGACTAGAGAAAACCAGGCTGCTTTTCAACCTAGACGTGGTTGTATAGACTAGATATTCACACTACGTCAAGTCCTAGAACATAGATACACATCCAGACGCCCCGCAGTCGTAGTATTTCTCGACTTTAAGACGGCGTTTGGCTCTGTTGATCGTGAGATTCTATGGCAGTGTTTGCCACTGAAAGGAGTATCAAAGACGTACATCAACCTTATAAAGGCTCTCTACTCTTGCAAAACTGGTCGAGTGAGAGCTTATGGTGAACTTTCATCAGAATTGATTACCTCAAGTTGTGTTCGTCAAGGCTGTCCACTCTCTCCATTCTTGCTTAACTTCGTCGTTGGCGTGATTTTAGCGATAATACTTTCCTCATCTAAATTTCCAGGAGTTGAACTTTTACCAGGAGATTCACTTGTCGACTTAGAATATGCCGATGACAGTTCTATTTGGTGAAGACGCTGACAAAATTCAGAGTCTTCTGACCACTAGATAAGCAACAATGCAAGTATGTTGGGGATGCGATGTGCTAATGTGGTATGATAACTTGAACTGATGTACGTACGTACGAAGTTCCACTTTGTTACTGACTGGTTGATGTAGCCACTTGTTACTCCTTATGCTGGTTAAACTAAAGAGGCCGACCATTCAATTAAGTCAGTTTGGCTGTTTTAATTCCGACTGATCTACCACCTACTGAACCACATGTTTATTTAGTACCACATTAAGCTGTGGGTTGTGGGGTTCTGTGGTTGATGGATGGGCTTTACATAACATCGACGTAAGTAAACTAAAATTCTTCACCAATTAATGTTAATATTTATTCTAATAATACACATATATATCTGAATTCTATAATCTGACGGTCAGAAACTGGTAAAATATTGATAAAAGTTCCTTAATTCCAAAGCATATAATTAGACGTGAAGCACAGATAACTTTATCCCTACGCTGTGTGGTGTGCGCTACTTATATACACATAAGTAGTATATAACGATAGTCAGGAATAGAATGTATTTCAGTAGATCGAGAAGGAAAGGCAAATATGTATATATATTTCTAAAATATTTTGAGTTTAACGTATATCGTCATAGAAAGCGACATGATATTTTCATAGAAAACAGGTGTGATGTATTTATTCAGCCAGAGCGGAAGTGATCTCCAAATACAAGTCCAGTACGTTGGAAATTACTAGGAGCGTACGTTGTTCATCAATCCCAAGAAATTTCGTATTGTATGGGAGTCGTCAATATAAATCCTTACAGCTGTCAACTTGTCGTTTCCATTAAATAGTCACTGATTAAGTTAGGTTCCCGACAATTGAGTTTATTGAGACAGATGATGATGTGGCTTGCCCGTGAATGAAGTGATCTCGCGCGCTGTTAGAAGTATGAGGATGGTTGTCACTTCCCGGATCTCTACACCATAGAGGGATATATCTTTGTGGGATACTTGGGTGAGGAACCAGATTAATCGTCAAAGCGATCTGGAAAGGTGACCACGCAGCCCAACGAACAACTGTCTGAGGTCGGTCACATACAACCCTCCTACGAGAAGTTTCCAATGTGTTGGCCCCATTTTCCAAAGGGCTTGACCGACGGAGACGGAAAACCATGGAGTAAGGTGAAGTGTGACAATTTTATGGTCGACTGTCTTTAGCCCCTTCTGTTATGAGAAGGCAGCATAGCTGCAGGTGTTGGTTGATTGAAGGAAACAATTACTGCTGTCACACTTCTATAAAATCAACAGTACGACTATAGTTTGCTCCTTCTAGTCTTGCTGTTCCCCAACATGGAAGGATATAAAAAAGCAAGTGTCCCAGCAATCGTAGCTCAATCGGGTCATTTCGGTATGCAACCCCGATCACCACATCAATGTAAAAGTTACAGAGAAATTTAGGGCAGCACCTGAACTAAGAATTCATCATGCGGGCAGTAGATGGAGATTGATCGTATTGCTATAGATTAATACGAATAGGTGCCTGTCGACTGAGTTCTTATTATTAATCTGGTCATGGATATAGATGAACTCTAACAAGCGCACAAAAACAGCACTGAAGTGACTGTAATCTCAAATTAATACCGATACTGAATATAATTTTGGTGAACAACTAGTAAAACTACAATATATAACATATCAATAATCGTCCTGAACTAATTAAGCAGTATGTCCAGTGTGTTAACATGTCAATTATTCGTCTGCTAATAACTCATGCTTAAAGTCAATGAAGGGTTGGATATCACTGTAACTATTTCGATAGCGGTGTGTGTGATGTCCAACGAAGCAATTTGCCTGGACCACAATAACAAAGACTTTATACAATGATTAGCATCAAATTAATAATAGAAAACTGTCAACTACCTGTTACAACAGAGAGCTAGCTAACAAGGTTTTTCGGGGAAAATGATAAAGGACTGAATATGAGCCTCTTACAAGAATAGTATCAAAACACAGTAATGAAAAATGGTCAAGACTGTGGGTCAACCAGTCTTACAGTCATTCATATGCCGAATGATTATGTAGGCGGGTTACTTATGTTATATTAGAGCTTATTACAGATTCACCGCGTGGTCATGTGTCTGCAGCTATGCAGTATTGAGTTTGCGATGGGTTGCGTCTAGTTACCGTCAACAATAGTTGTAAATAGCGTTGTTTTTGTTTTGTAACATGCAGAATGGTTAGTGTCTGACCATATTTGTTTTATTCTTTTGTTTGTCTAGACAGTTCGACAGAGCGTCATTATTTTTGCGGAAATAATGTCGGTATAAACGTCACTGAAGTAATTCTTGATTTCTTTACTCGTTTCCCCAAAACTTTATCGTCGTTTGAGGAAAGTGAAGACAAAACACTTAGTAGCAACAATTAGTTGTTAAACAAATAACTATTGAGAAACCAAACAAAATGAACCAGGAACGAAATTGCAGCAGTTAAAGTTCTCACACTTAGAAGAAAACGAATAAATTTACTGCAACACAACATATGAAGCATTAAATATTGTGATCAGTTTCTTACAAAGCCGCCTGGGGTCTCCCATCACGGATTTCTATTATCAGATGTTTAATACGCTGGATTTAGTTTTTGAACGTGAATGACTCCATCGATGGAGTATTCTTACAATAACAGTCTGCCAGGATGAACATTAACTAATGCGTGAGGCGCTATAGTCAATTGAGTAGGTAGGCATTTAAAATTGGTTTGTCTTTCTGTACGAAAGTGTGCACACAAGCACAACAGTATACAACACAGTCGCAACCAAATAAACCTTTCATATTTTCAAATACTAAGTTCTTCACCTGTATGACGTAGCACCGTTCCGTTATACTGTTTATTATTCGTCTTGACAGGTTTAGAAATATTTCACTGGTTATATGCTGTGTCATCTAATAGGATTTTCGCAACTAGTACACACACCACACATTTTAGGATGTTATATTCAGACATGTAATTTTTTGAAAATCGGTTTGTTCACTTGCTGTCCGGAGAAATAAATAGAACTTAAGCTAATGCACTTACGTTACACTACAACAACTTCCTTCGGATAATGAACTCTCCTTATCTTGCTGACTAATAAGTTGTGTTTTGGTTCCTTTTAACTGAAATATTAGTAATATCAAAGAGTAACTGAGTAATTTATGCGGTTTATGGTTTCACAGTATTTTAAACTTCTTCAAAATACTCATACTTCACTGAATATGTTCTAGTTCTCGATAGTGTTACTAAAACAGGGTTATTATCCACGAATAGACTGACCCATGAAATTGAGGTAAATCAAATGTTATGTATATATAATTTATCTGTATGGCTGTTTGAATGCCTGGTCGTGTGGATCATTAGTCTGGATAAAACTTTTAATATTAATTTTTCCTCACAATATGCACATATGGTCACTGTTGGTGTTCGATCCCGATAATTATTTTATGATTGTTGCAAAGACCAAAATATACACTGAACAATGTTTGGTAACTATTTATGCTTTAAAATGTAGCCCCCTGACCTACACTTGAGTTAAATTTTAAATTTACTAAGGCCTTTAATTAATTAATTAATTTAATGGACAGTACCACTAGGTCGTTAATAATCTGTGTATAACTTTATGTTATTATCATGTTTGCATGAGTAATCACGTATTATAGACCACACACAAATTCAACGACTCATTTGCTTGCTTATATACACATGTGCTTCATAAATCGTATTCATTTATTC